CATGACATACAGAGACAGAGAGGAATAGCTCTTCCTTCAAATCCCAGCAGCTTTTGTGGGTCAGACTACAAACCCACATTATGGTTCAACTTGGAACAATGGAAAGAAGTTGAAGAATAAGAAATATCCTGTTTCCCTGAAAATAAGCCCAATAGGGCTTTTGAGCGCATGCACTAAAATAAGCCCTCCCCTGAAAATAAGCCCTCCCCGGAAATATTGCAATACAGCAGCAACCATGAGGTGACCACGCTCACCGCCTCCTGCATCTCAAAAATAATAACAGCTCCCTGAAAACAAGACCAAGCACTTATTTTGGGGGGTCAAAAGAAAATAAGACCCTGTCTTATTTTGGGGAAAACATGGTATGTGAGAAACTGCTAAAGGTTACATGAATATCTCTGGAAAGACTACAACATTGTAGGGGATTCAACCAATGGAACACATGGGCTTTGGACATTGAGGTGTATAAATGAAGCAAAAGAAGTTGCTTTGCTAAAAGAGCAGGTCTATGTGATGGTCAGACACAGAAATGGGGAAAGGTACTGATGCAGAAGTACTACTGGAAGATCTGAATTCAGAATTTACAATACCTAATAGTTACTTAGTTTTCTTTCTGTCCTTAAAACATAAACTTTGAAAGATCCTTCAGATTTCCTCTGGGAGTGAGACAGATCCTGTCCCAGGCGGTTACATCAATGTCCAATACAGCAACTTCTTTAATCACCATGAAACCAAAGTCAAAGTAATACCTTGAGATTGGTTCCCTTGATTCCCCCCCCCCCATTTTCTACTTTCGTTTTTCCCATGAACCATATAGGTTCAATCTGTCACTTTTCTCTATAGGATTTGATGCTGAGAATCCAAAACAACTAGACATGAAGACATGCCATCATTCTGCTAATTCCCACAACACTGTCATATGCCTAAGGATATCTAACCATGTAATAGGGCTGTATTGCTATTATCCTTCTAATCTTCTCATCTCTCACTTCTTCTCATCTTTCTCATCTTCTCACCTTTCCTACTACTTTCTCCTATTAGTATCTTATAACTTATCACTTGTACGTATCTTATGGTTTATGATTGTATCTTATGATTTATGATCTATGACTTATCATTTTGTTGTTTGTCTGTACACTGAGAGTTTATGCACCAGAGACAAATTTCTCATGGGTCCAATCATACTTGGCCAACAGAGAATATTCCACTTCCAACCCATCCTTTCTGTTTGCATCTCTTGCCTTCACGATCCAAAACGGCACATTTTCATTCCATGTTGTTTCAACACTATGTAAGGGCAACACGTAGCTGGGCCACTGAATAATTCATCACTCCCTAATCTCCATTATAAACAGTCCTTAAAAGAAGCATTTAGAGCTTAGTTTGTATATAGGCAGTAACATTTGCTTCAACTAAATGGATGGGGAAACAGGAAGAT